CCAGGACCAGGACTGGACAGCCTTGCTGCAGACACACACTGACCCCTCCAGGACTGGACAGCCCTGCTCCAGACACACTGACTGACCCCTCCAGGACTGGACAGCCCTGCTCCAGACACACTGACTGACCCCTCCAGGACTGGACAGCCCTGCTGCAGACACACTGACTGACCCCTCCAGGACCAGGACTGGCCAATATCAGCTCTATCAGACCAGTACAACACTTGTCTAAGGTCTTCATAAAATACTTTTAATAATTCCCCAGATACCTCAATTATCTACGATTGCCATGTTGTATATACGGTAAATCACCCTGTGTATTGCATATTGGGACGTAATAACAGCAACAAGGGCATTTAATCTCCGTTTTATTGGGTTGTTATAATTATTAGTAACTTCAGTCGAAGAAATATTGTTACTATAAGCCTGAATTCCCTCAGGTATATATCCGTACAAAGATTTTAAATTTAAAACACGCAAGACTTTTCAATGTACAACTGGAGTCTAATTATCACGTAAAACAGACTGATCAATTACTAAACGACTTTAACGGCACACAACAAAACAGAGGCAGCTGGTAACCGCCTGCTTCAAAGTGAAACGCCCCCGGGAGACATTAATTGAACTTTAAATTAATTAGTCTTTAACTGGGAGGTTTTACAAGACTTCTGTCTCTCGGTCGTCCGAGATCCAGAAGGAAAATGGCGGCCGGCCCGGGCCCTTGTAATTTACAAACAAAAACAGCGTCGGTTTTATAACATCAGCGTTTCAGGACCGACCCGATACCGGGGTTCGGACAGTTTCGATAACGTGCTTTTGCGTTTTCTGTGGAAAAGTGGATAAAATGGGCACACTTCAAAACTTACTGTTCTTAAAACAAAAAAGGTCTCCGTTGTCAGGAAACTGACACCATTTTGGCTCTGATCCCAAGCGACCGTTTCGGCAGGAAAATCCTATAAGAAATTACCGGGGGCCCTTGAGCCAAGATGGCGGCCTACTGGCTCCAGTTTCATGTACACAAAAACCGAAGCCATAGGAGAAGGGGGTGGGGGGGACGTAGTTTGTAGAAATTATATTTTTAATAAAGTTTAAATGATTAAGAAGTGGAGTGTGTGAGTGAATAACTGATAAGAAAGGAAAACTCACCGGTTTTCTCTTTGATTTCGCACAAGACGCTGAAAAGGGCCGGTTTCATGGGGTGGCAGTTCAGGGCGTGTTTTCTGTCGGGCCACAGGCGGTTAAAAAAAAGACAAAATAAATAAAATAACATAAGCGAAAGGGACAACAGTGATCGAAAATAATCAAATTAAAAACCGACAAGTCGTTTAGTAACGTCAGTAGAGTTCCAGTCTCACGACGTTGATGCCCCAACTACAGATTAACAGCGTCTAAATAGGCCTGGGTATATTATTATAACTATTTTTAAAGTTTTATTATGGGATCCCGCCAATTTTAGGGGTTCATTTATTCTGAAAAACGTTTACAGCGAACACTATAGTCTGGGTATTTTAAGAACTCCAAAACGATCAACAAAACACATCGACATCTTGTGAATTTCGGGAGAAATATTTTTCAAACGCACCGGAATCCTGTACATTTCGCGAAATTTGTCACCACGCATACCCGTTACACTCGCTCGGCGATTAATGTAAAAGCTCTTAAATGATATCTCGATCGCAGTTTATTCTTAAGTCTCGGCCCAAGCCCTCAAGCGTCCTCAGAAAAGTGAAATGATCAATTATTTCATAACGACAGAGGTCATTCGTGTCTCTGCCCCTGTTCAAGTTGAACTTCTCCACGCTTTTAACTCTTTTTAAAGTTTGGCAAAACAGCTCGGGTCGGAAAATAGGGAGTCTAAAACGCCTACAAAGCAACAAAAATATTAAATGCACAAATGTGTTGTAAAAATCTGCAACAATGTGTTGATTTGCATAAAGCCGTCGTGTGTCCTTATTTACAAGATATTCATCTGTTTCTGAGACGATTTACTCGAGTGGGTCTGAACTTTTGAAGAAGTCTCTCAAGATTTCTTTTTAAATCGTCAGGAGACGCGAGCGGATGGGGGTTAACATCCACATCCACAACAACAACAACAACAACAACAACAACAAAACTTTCGTAACTTTTCCGCCGTCATCGTTACTCAGCCAGTTCAGTTGGGAATTGCACAAAAGATGATCAGATATGAGTGACACACAAACACAAGAAGAAAAGCTCGGCTTGTAGCCTCTGCTCCTTATCGCCATGATTTACAACAACCGTGCAGCGCCTTTCATGTCAACAACTTTAAAAACACACGCCTGCAACATTACTACAGTATTACCACCGAGCTACTGCCCTCCCGGTCCGGTTCTGCCATTAATAACAGCCTATTAATATCCTCCTAATTGATCAATTGGCTTCCCAACACGCCAATAAAAGCGCGGACGCCGGTCGTGAGGCTCAACTCGCTTCGCCTCCGTCCTCAACAAACTTCGGCCGAAACTTGCCGTGTTCGGATAGAAACATGTCCTTAAATAAAGACGTATATTACAAACCAAGATCTCACGGCTCTAAAAGGCTGCGAACCATAATCTACAGCAGAGCTTCTCCCCGTCCCTTCCTCCCTGAGCCCCACTCTCGCGTGTGTGCATATATATATATACAAAAAAAAGACATTTTTCTGGCTTTTATTTCTCCACGTCCTTCGCCTTCTCCGTCCCCCTCCTCTCACGCACTTGGCCTGCGCCTCGTCCAGGCTCTGGTCGGTGATGGTCATGATCTGCTGCAGGATGTCTCCGATGTCCCGGCGGCTCTCCGGCCCGCCGCCGTCCTCCCCTGCGCCGCCGGGGCCCCGGTGGCCCGGGTGTCCCGGGTTGCGCGGGTGCAGCGCCGGGTGGGCGCTCAAATTGAGGCCCCGGCCTGCGGGCCCGCTGCCGGTCTGCGGCGGCTGCTGTTGCAACATCCCTGCTACGCGGCGCCCAGAGAGACACAGCAGATGTGGCGGCCGGCCGGCCCACTCTCACTCTCCTCTCTCACACACACACACACTCCCCCACGGCACGGCACGGCACGGCACACACACACACACTCAAGCACAGCCGGGGAGGGAGATGGGCGACCACACACACGGTCCCCCTAGCGACTCGGGAGCACGACGAAGGAGGGAAAAGGGGGTTCGTGAGGGTCCCCCGAGTGGGAGCGTGGGTGAGAGAGTGAGACACGCAG